GAGGAGAAGAGAGGAGACGAGAAGGAGAGAGAGAGAGAGGACCAGACAGGACAGGACAGACAGAGACAGACAGACAGACAGAGACAGATGAGAGAGAGAACAGACAGGAATGAGAACAGAGAAATGAAAGGACGTAATAGACCAAGCCGAAAGAAGAAAAAAAACGAAACACAAACAGAGGAAGAAGAAAAGAGAAAGAAATGACAATAATCAAAGGAGCTATAAGGAGATGACACAATAAAAAACAGAAAAAGAAAGGGGGGAAGAAGAGAAGATGGCAATAAACAGAGGAAGAAGAAGAAAACGGTCTCCCACGTGATCAGGTCACTGTCAGATCAGTCGTTACGTTATCTGTCGGTTGATTGAATACAGATCAAAGAGTAGAGGAAATTGAAAGAAAATTGAAGGAGAAGCCAAGAAAAGCCCTGTCTTTAGCCCGGTCTGTAATGCAGAGCAGGAAACGATAATTTTTCGAAGGAGAAGAAGAGGAGGGAAGAGGGAAGGGAAAACTCATTTTCCTCTCTGTAGCTTCTTTCTTTCTCTCTCTCTCTCTCTTTCTCTATCTATCTCTATCTATCTATCTAGTGTAGCTCTAGCTATATATGTATATATATATATATATATATATATATAATATATATATATATATATATATATATATATATATATATATATATATATATATATATATATATATATATATATATATATATATATATATGCATATACATATACATACACACACATATATGCATATACATACATATTATATTCATTTTATATGACATTATCATATGTTTATCAATAAATAGTCATCCCATGATAACAATTAAGAAACAAAATGGAGCATTCTTAATGAAAGCTGCAAAGCCAAAAAAAATCAATCGAAAACAGAGTGACCGATCATTGTGAAAAGCAACAGGAACTTGGCAGGAATGTTGCACGTGTCAGGGCCTCAATCGCCGGACATCTTGTCAACATCAATTATTGTGTTGTGTCGGGCGCTCCCAACACGGTATCTTTGTGGGCGGGCGCTGTGTTCACGTCGGGGCTGCTGAACGGGTTGAACAGAACGCTGGTGTGTTATTGTTTTTTTTTTTTTTTTTTTTTTTTTTTTGAGGGGGGTTGTTATTTTTTTCGAAGAGATTAGGATCGGGATCAGGAATTTTGTGAGGATTTTGTAATATTATATTATATATATTATATATTTATTTTTTTTTTTATTCAAATTCCATTTGTTTATTTATTTTTTACTTATATTTATTTTTTCTTTGTTTTTTTTATGGCATTTTTCAGGATATTTTGCTGATGATGATAACGTCGTTCAGTAACAGGTTAATAATGTTCATGAAAACGGTATAGTAATGATGATAATCTAGATAAAATCAGTCTATCGGTCGGTTTGTTAGAACTGTGCTCGACCCAAAGAATATTCGTATACTTGACATGCATAAATAAATAAATAAATGCATATTCATCAGTCTAGACATGCATATCAACCCAGCAAATAGACAGTTAAACGTATATCTATCAGATACATAGACAGATATGCCTCTATTTCTGCATCTGTATTTACGAAAATTCCTTGGCTCGGGCCTGGCACAATTTTAACAAACCGACCGTATAAGAACTCGCATTAAATGATTAAATGATCAGATTCAACAAGGTTCAGGCACGATTCGTGGTTCATCTGACACGCATCACGGAGTCACGGAATGGCTGAAGCGACTGCCTCTCGTGCCTCTTAAAAGCAAAGCGAATTAGCATCAGAGACAAGACGCTTCTCTCGACGTCTCGGCTCTTTGGTGTGTACTCAAAAGCTCTTGCTTCGTTCGCTTGCGTCGCTGAAATTGTCTCTTTCGCTGTTCTCCTTCTCTGTCTCTGGTCTTGCTCCTCTCCTCCTTCTCCTCTCCTCACTGGTTTCTTGCTCCTTCCTCCTTTCTCCCTCTCCTCCTTCTCCTCTCTCCTCACTGCGTTCTGTCTCTCCTCTTCTCCTCTCTCTCACTGGGTCTTGCTCACTGGGACTTGCTCCTTTTTCCTTCCTTCTTCTCCTCTCCTCACTGGGTCTTGCTCCTTTCCTCCTTCTTCTCCTCTCCTCACTGGGTCTTGCTCCTTTCCTCCTTCTTCTCCTCTCCTCACTGGGTCTTGCTCCTCTCCTCCTTCTTCTCCTCTCCTCTTCTCCTCTCTCCTCACTGGGGTCTTGCCCTTCTCTCCTTTCTCCTTCTTCTCTCCCTCACTGGGTCTTGCTACCTTTTCCTCCTTCTTCTCCTCTCCTCACTGGGTCTTGTCCTCCTCTTTCTCCCTCTCCTTTCATCCTCTCTCCTCACTGGGTCTTGCTCCCTCTCCTCCTTCTTCTCCTCTCTCCTCACGGTGTTTCTTGCTCCTCTCCTCCTTCTTCTCCTCTCTCCTCGCTGGGTCTTGCTCCTTTCCTCCTTCTTCTCCTCTCCTCACTGGGTCTTGCTCCTTTCCTCCTTCTCCTTACTCAGGTCCTCTGCTCCTTTCCTCCTCTTCTCCTCCTCTCCTCACTGGGTCTTGCTCCTTTTCCTCCTTCTTTCTTCCTCTCTTCCTCACTGGCGTCTTGTTCCTCTTCCTCCTTCTTCTCTCCTCTTCCTCACTGGGGTCCTTGCTCCTTTCCTCCTTTCTTCTCCTCTCTCCTCACTGGGTCTTTGCCCCTTCCTCCTTTCTTCTCCTCTCTCCTCACTGGGTCTTGCCCTTTCCTCCCTTCTTCTCCTCCTTCTCTCTGGGTCTTGCTCCTTTCTCTCCTTCTTCTCCTTCTCTCCTCTTCTGGGTCTTGCTTCCTCTTTCCTCCTGCTTTCTCTCTCTCCTCCATGCCGTTTCTTGTTCTCTTCACATCAAACTTCTTTCTCCTCTCTTTTTCCTCACTGGGTCTTGCTCCTTTCCTCCTTCTTCTTCCTCTTCCTCAACTGGGGTCTGCCTTCTTTCCTCCGTTTCTCTCTCCTCACTGGGTTTTGTTCTCTTTCTTCTTCTCTCTTCTTCCTCCTTCTATAGCTCTCTGCTCTTTTCTCTCTTCTCCTCTCTCTTCCCCTTCACATTCTATTCTCCTCCTCTCTCTCCCTTTTCTCTTGTTCTCCTCTCTCCTCTCTGGTCTGCTCCTTCCTTCCTCTCCTCCTCTCCTCCCCTTCTTCCTGCCTCTTCTCTTTTTCTAGCCTCTCTCTCTCCTCCGTCTTCACTTCTCTTCACCTCTCTCTCCCTTCGCTGTCCTCTCTCTCCCTCACTGAGGTCTTTTTGGCTCCTCTTTCCTCTCGTTCTTCTCCTTCTCTTCCTTTCTTGCCTCTTTGCTCTTCTCTCTTCTGCTCTCTCTCTTCCCCTCACATCTATTTCTCTCTCTTCTCCCTTCGCTGTTCTCTCTCTCTCCTCACTGGGTCTTGCTCCTTTCCTCCTTCTTCTCCCTTCGTTTCTTCTCCTCGATCACTCTTCTCTCTTTCTGCTTCTCTCTCTCCTTACCCTCACTTCTTCTTCCTCTCTCCTCTCCTCCCCTCTTTCTTCTGCCTGCCCTTCCCTCATCTCCTCTCTTCATTCTCTTCTCTCTATCCTTCCTCCCCCTTTTCTTCTTCCTCCTCTCTCTCCTTCTCTCTGCTACATTTCCTTCCTCCTCCGCTCTTTCTTTCATCTTCTTCCCTTCCCCCTTCTCCTTCTCGCTTCCTCTTTATTTCCTTTTCCCTCACTTCTCTTCTCCCCCCACTCCTCTTACCTCCTCTTTCCCGCACTTCCTCCCTTCCCCTCTCTTATCTCTTCTCCTTCCTCGTCACTTCTCTTTCCCTCTCTCATCTTTTTCTTCCTCTCTCTTCCGTCCCCATCCCTTCTCCTTCTAGTCGTACTCCTCTTTCCTTTTTCTCCTCTCTTTCCATCTCTGCTTTTCCCTCCTCTCTCTCCTCCCACTTACTTTTCTTCTCTCTACTCCTCTCCTCTTCCTCTCTCCTTTCCTCCCCCTCTTTCTTACTTTTCCCTTGTCTCCTTCTCCCTCTCCCTTCTCTTCTGCTCCTCTTCCTTTTATCCGTCTCTATTTGACCTCCCCATTTTCTTTCCAATCTCCCCCTTTCCTGATCTCTTAGCCCGTTTGTTCCTTTTTCTTTTTCTTTTTTACTTCTTTTCCTTATCCTCCTTCCTTTCCTTCGTTCCGTCCCCTCTCTCTTTCTCTGCATTTGAATTCCACTTCCTCCCATTTCCCTCTTTCTCCTTTCCGTTCCCTCTCGCTCTTTCTTTCTCTCTTTCCTTTACTTTTCGTCTGTTTGTTTTTTTTTCCTCTCTCCTATTACCAATCTTTACTGGTTTCCCCCTCTTCTCGTCCTCTATCCGCATCCCCTCCTTAATACCCCTTTCCCCCCCCCCCCCCTTCAATTGCATTTATCACCTCTCGCTGTTCTTCCTCCTCCTCCTCTTCCTCTTCTCATTCTTCCATTCTTCCTTACCCTACCCTTCCACCCCCACTCCTTCTCCACCATGAATTTGAACCTTGAAGCACTCCCCACTTGCCATATTTCCCATCGTCCATTTGTATCACCTCTCCTTTTCTTCACTCCTTTCCCTCCCCTTCCATTTCTTCCTACCCTTCCACCTCCCCACCTCCACTACTCAGTAGCCAGACCCACTCCCCCCCCCCCATTCGATTATCCAACCTCTCCTTTCTCCTCCTCCCCTCCTCCTTCTTACCCATTCTTCAACTTTGAACCCTTTCCGATCCTCCCTCACCTCCACTCAGTTCCAGAGGGCCAAAGATCGCCGTCCTACGAGGGGAGTTGTATGGACAAGAGGACTGAACAGCCATTCAGCGAGTGCATGAGAAGCTGAGCGCGGTGTCAGGAATGATAGTGTGAGCGTAATAAATGGTTAAAGATCAATTGATAAACAGGACTTGTGAGTCAGGAAAAGAAAACCGTGAGGAGACAAGTGCCAAGTGAGGTGAGTATTATGATAAATTTAACAATAAGGTTTCCAAAGGAAGTAGACGCGACAAGCCCGATATACTAATAGTACAGGCGTCAAGCCGAGCTGGAGTGCGCTACAGGAGGTGAGCCAGAGGGCATAGATGAAAAACGGTCTGCACAGGCACGGTATGAGGACAACGGTGCCAAGTGATAACGACCGTCCAAGATGCAATCCAACCGCCTAGAGGACGGTGCCAGTGAACGAAGGCGCGTGACGGGCTGTGCCCAAGGGAGGTGAGGCGATCCAAAAACGTGTTGGACAGGAACCACCGAACGGTTTGAGTGGCGTCAACAAAAGTTCTGTGCTTCAGTGATCGTAGGTTGCGGCTGAAATGCTCTGCACAGGAGGTGGTCGGCGTTATGCCTTTGTGTATTCCGCGCCCGTAGCCGAGGAGGGGCAGCTGCAGGGGGTAGCACCAACCCGGGTGCCAGAAGATGCGGGTGCTGTGCCAGGAGGTGAGGCCGGCTGCCCAGCGAGGGCGGGTGTTGCGCGAGGAAGGTTGTGAGGATGTGCCAGGAGGTGCGGGTGTGCCAGAAGATGCGGATGTGCCAGGAGGTTGCGGTGTGTGGTGCAGGAGGTAGAGGGTGTTGCAGGAGGTGAGAGTAAGTGGAAGCTTCGTGCCAGGAATGGTGAGAGGAGGGCGTGCCAGGGAGCGGTGAGGATGCCAGGGATGGACGGTGCAGGGAGTAATGTGCCAGGAAGGATAAAGGTGCGTGCAGGTTTGTGTTGAGTAAATGTGCCAGGGATGGAGTGGAGGCCTTGATGTGCCCAGGAGGTGAGGAAGATCTGAAATCGTTGCCAGGATGGCAAGTCAGGTGCCAAGAGGTTGACCTGCTGGGCCAGGTAAGGTGAAGACCCCCGCTCCTGCAACTGGTGCCAGGAGGTGAGGGTGCCAGGGAGCGTGCGGATTGTGCTCAGGAGGTGAGGGTGTGCCAGGAGGTGGGATGTGCCAGGAGGTCCGAGGGGCCTTAGGACCAGCTGAGGTGGTGGGGTGGGGGCGGGTGGTGCCAGGGAAGTGACGGGTCTCTATTTATCTTGTGCCAAGCGCCCCCCAGACGGAGGTGCGAGGATGCTTGTTGTTTGGCAACAGATGTGCTGCTCAGGAGGTACAGGAGAGTTGTGTGCCAGAGGTCGCAGGTGTGCCAGGAGGTGGAGGTGTTGCCAGGAGGTGAGGGATGATGGCAGGGCCAGGAACGTCGGATGTTTTTTGCCAGGAGGTTGAGGGTGTGCCTAGGAGGTGCGACTGTGCCAGGAGAGTGCGAGCGTGCTGCCAGGAGGGCGGATGTGCCCAGGAGGGTGAGGTGTGTGCCCAGGAGTGGAGGGACTGTTGCAGGGAGGTGAGGGTGTTGCCAGGAGGTGCGGATGTGCCAGGAGGTGCCGGGTATAAGTGTGTTGCCAAGAGAGGTGAGAGTGTGCGCAGAAGGTTGAGACATATGTGCCAGGATGGTGAGACGGGAGGGGTTTTTGTCCAGAGTGCCGGGAAACCTATTGTGCCAGAGGTAGAGGGCAGTGAAACGTTGTACAGGTTATTGTGCCAGGAGGTGCGGTGTGTTGCCAGGAGGTGCAGGGTGTGCCAGGAGGTGAGGGTGTTGTTGCCGGAGTGTGAGGTGTGCACAGGAGGTGAGGTGAGGGTGCTAGGGAGGTGAGTGCGGAGGTGGCCAGGAGTTGCTGGGTGTGCCAGGAGGTGAGGGGAGAGTAAGGTGTGGCCAGGAGGTGAGGGTGTGCCAGGAGTGAGTAGAGGGTAGTTGTGTTGGGGTGTGCCAGTGGAGGAGTGGAGAAGGTTGTGCGCAGGGAGGTAGGGTGTGCCGCAGGAAGTTGAAGGGTACCTCTGGTGGTGCCAGGAGGTGAGGGTGACGTGATGTGCCGGAGCGTGAGTGGCTGTTGCCAGGAGGTGCGGGTGTGCCAGTGGGTGAGGGGTATGGGGTGCCAGGAGGTGAGGGGTGCCAGCGAAGTGAGGGTGTGCAGGAGGTTTGAGGGGTGTAGGTGTGTTGTTGCCAGGGTGAGGAGTGCGCAGAGGTGTAGGTGTTGCCAGGCAGGTGGTGAGGGTGCCAGGAGGTGCGGTTGAGGTGCCAGGAGGTGAGGTAGGTGCCAGCGGTGAAGGTGAGTGGTACCAGGAAGTGTGAGGGTTGCCAGGAGGTGAGGGTTGCCAGGAGGGTGCAGGTGAGGGCTAGTGCCAGGAAGGTGAGGTGCCAGGAGTGAGGGTGTTGCAGGAGGTGTTGAGGGTGTGCCAGGAAGGTTTGAGGGTGTGCCAGGGAAGGTGAGGAGTGTGCCAGGAGGTGAGGTGGCTGTGCCAGGTGAGCGTCGAGGGTGTGCCAGGAGGTGAGGTTGAGGGTGCCAGTGCAGGTGAGTGGTGTAGTGCGCTTTATTGTGCCAGGAGCGTCCTAGAGGGTTGCCATGAGGAGCGGTAGGAGCGCAGGCAATGTGCCGGAGGTGAGAGTGAGGCGTGCCAGGAGGTGAGTCTTGTGCAGGAAGGTGAGGTGAGGGTGTGCCAGGAGGTGAGGTGAGCCGGCTGCCAGGAGGGTGCGCGCGTGCCAGGAGGTTGGGTGAGGGTGCCAGGAGCGTTGCAGGTGTGTGCCAGACGGTGGTGAGGGGTGCCAGAGGTAGGTGAGCGGTGTCAGGAGGAGCGCGGTGTGCCAGGAGGAGCGGTGTGTCCAGGAGGTGAGGGGTGCCAGGCCAGGAGTCGGGAGTCGGAGAATCGGGGAACACTTGAAAACGGAGAGTCCTTTGATGGGCGGCAGTTATAAGTTCTGCAGTGCGTTCGGGCGTCTTCTTGCAAAGGCTGTCGTGAGAGGGGTTGGCGAGGGCGGGGGCGTGGAGTGGGAGTGGGGAGTGTGTGTGTGGAGAGTGTGTGGTGTGTTAGTAGTGTGTGTGGATGTGAGGGTGATCTGGTGTGTGTTGGTGTGGGGGTGGGTGAATGGTGTGTGTGGATTGTGTGAGGTGTCTGTGGTTGTGTGTGTGTGTGTGTGTGTGTGTGTGTGTGTGTGTGTGTGTGTGTGTGGTGTGTGTGTGTCTGTGTGTCTGGTGTGTGTGATGTGGATGTGAGGTGTCTCTGTGTGTGTGGATGTGGTGGTGTGTCTCTGTGTGGGATTTGTTGAGGGTGTTGCTGTAATGTGGGGTTGATGGTGTGGCCTATGTATGTGTGTGTTCTGTGAAGGTGTCTGTGTGTGTGTCTGATGTGTGTGCTTGCTGGTTTGTGTTATGTGTGTGAATATACACACACCCAAGACATATATATTTACACACATACACACGGATATATGAGCGCGCACACACATACAACACCCATACACACACACACACACACCTTGACAAACAACCACTTCCCAAGTTCATTCCAATGACTTCAAACATAGCAAGCAAATATGAACTTACCCAATAGCTAAAAACACACAAGATCTTTTTCCTGAATATTATCACCTAATCTAAATCTCGTTTTGGGGCAAGAGCAAGACCCAATAATTATATTCATGGCTTATTCAGCTTAAGGAATTTCATTTCCGTTGGACAAGTCAGGGAAACCGTGCAGTTCTAGTCCTTCAGGAAAATATTGGAAAAAGGAAGAAGACCTGTCTGTTTCCAAAACGTTTTCGTATTATATTTAGATATAGGAATTGGTGTTTTTTTTTGTGTATGTGTGTGTGTGTGTGTGTGTGTGTGTGGTGTGTGTGTGTGTGTGTGTGTGTGTTAAGTGTTCGTGTGTGTGTGATTGTAGGTGTGTGTTGATGACTATTGATCATTAAATAGGTCATGATTCTATACTAACTTTTCCTGACATGAGAAAAGGATTCGACTTTTAATACACACTATTCACACATTTTTTTTTCTAATACGCTGCATATATATGCATTAGGAATTTAAAGTAAGATGAGACTCAATTAAAAGTACTGAGTTATCTTATCTATTATATATATTATATATATATATATATATATATATATATATATATATATATATATATATATATATATTAATTATACATACATACATACATATCGTTAGCAAAATGAAAACACAGAATTAAGCCAAAGCCGCAGAAACTTAATTTTATGCAGTGAATTAGAAAGTCATCAAGGCAGGTTGGTTCAGACTGATTGAAGATGGTTATAAGCATATGAGTGATCTGTACAGTGAAGAGTGAAGTTGACGAGAATTTGAAGTGGCCGAATAAAACGAAGGGAAAAACAATATATGCGTGTCGTTATTATCAAGTGAATGGTGAAAACCGAAGTAAAAGTCTGTGGCTGTGGATGCGATTAAATATTTGACATTCGCGTGGGAGATTCGCCAATCCATACGACAGCTGATTAAAGAGCGATCACCACTGACTATTATTAATTAAGAGAAAGGTCATATTCGATCGAATCCCGAACCAGGAGGCTTGTTGCCATAACACCCTGATGAGGCATTCACGAAAAGGTCTTCGGCAGATTCGTGTTTTCTTGTCCTTCCCTTCGTTGTTCCTGTTGTAATTTGTTTGACACGAACTCCTCACGTGGTAGATACATTCAGATCGATTAGGAGACAAACTATTCGTTAGCAAGTAGAAGGAAGATAAATTTCTCTTGATGAGCAAAACTAGTGTACGGTAATTTTTTAAAAAAAATCCGAAAGTGATATAAATTGGTATTGGTGGATAGAATTATCATGAAAAATAAAGTGGATATCCATTCCTTGCCTTACTAGATCCACATAGCAAAGTGCAAGGGAAATGACGTCAAATGCTCACCAGATACTATATAACTCGAAGAATTGGAGGTTGACCTTAAATCTGGGGGAAAATGTTAACCAATATTGAGATGCTTCCTCAAATAATACAGATCTACATTCTGTGGGAAAATAATCCTCACGTTGGCATAGAGGTGTGTTAGATCACATAAAGAAAGAGAGAAGGTGGACGAGAATGAACGAACGTCATTCTCAGATGGTAAAAAAGGACAAAGACACAAGAGCTGGTACATTGTTCCAAGCGAAACAAGCTGTACATGACACAAGACACAAGGCTGGTACATTGTTAAAAAAAGGACAAAGACAAAGACACAAGAACATTGTTCCAAGCGAAAAAAGGACAAAGACAAAGACACAAAGAGCTGGTACATTGTTCCAAGCGAAAAAAAGGACAAAGACAAAGACACAAGAGCTGGTACATTGTTCCAAGCTCAAATATCAAGACGCCAAAGACACACTACATTGTAATCAAAAGAAAGATAAAATCAAAGCTGAATTCTGTAAATTAAGGCAATAAGCTCAAATACACTTTCCTTTCATCAGAAACGGAGAAGGAATTACTGGGTCGACAGAAACTGCAATGGGAATACAAGTGGCAAGAAAATTCTTTGTGACCTACAGAGGCGTGCAACAGCGTGTGTGTGTGCTGTGTGTTGTGTGTGTGTGTGTGTGGTGTGTGTGTGTGTTTGTGTGTTGTCTGTGTCTCTCCTCTCTCCTCTCCTCTCTCTTCTCTCTCTCTCTCTCTCTCTCTTCCTCTCTCGTCTCTCTCTCTCTCTCTCTCTCTCTCTCTCTCTCACTCTCTCCTCTCTCTCTTCTCTCTCTCTCTCTCTCTCTCTCTCTCTCTCTCTCTCTCTCTCTCTCTCTCTTCTCTCTCTCTCTCTCTCTCTCTCTCTCTCTCTCTCTCTCTCTCTCTTCTTTTTTTTTAAGAAAAAGGAATATTTGCCAAGAGCGATTACAAGAGAACCCAGAGAACAGAAAACCCCGGAATCAAAAAGATCATCCTAGATAACAAAAAAAAAAAAATCTTAATACGAAGGAACAAAAAAAAAAAAAAAAAAAAAAAAAAAGACTAAGAAAGGCGTTTGAAAAGACAACAGATAAAAGACGGACGCGTGGAGGTGGTCGAGAAAAGAGGGAGATAGAGACAAAGAGGATCTAAAGAGCAACACAAGACCGGGCAATTAGAACAGGGGAAGCAGCGAAAAAATATTGACAAGAGGGAGAGACAACAGAAAAGAGCCAAAGGTGTGATGAGAAAGCAGGAAAGGAAGCAGACAGCCAACGTTGCATCGATGTGCACGGAAGCGTAAAAAGAAGCAGGAAAATGGCACAAAAAGCACGGACGCTGATTCACTAAGCTTGAAAGCAACATCTTGGAGAGTGCGAAGGTAAAACGGATGTTCTCACTCATTTCAGACAACAAGATGGATTGTTATCGGATGGTTGGAAGGAGTAAAGTGTGGCGCGAGATTGAAATGAGTTTATCTTTTTTTTTATAGGGCGGCTGAAGAGAGGGAGGGAGGTGTCTCTCTCTCGCGTGCTACATGTGTGTGTGTGTTTGTGTTTTTTGTGTGGTTTTTGAGTGCGTGTGTGAGTGTGTGTGTGTGTGTGTGTTTGTGTGTGTGTGTGTGTGTGTGTTGTGTGTTTGTTGTGGTGTGTGTGCGTGTGTGTGTGTGTGTGTGTGTTGTGTGTGTGTGTGTGTGTATGTGTGTGTGTGGTGGTGTCTACAATAAATTCAAATTAGATTTATTTTTACCAAGAATGAAAAAAATGTCACAGGGACTTTAGCCTCTCGCTCTCGCGTGCTACATTATATATATGGTGTGTGTGTGTGTGTGTGTTTATGTTTTTTTTTTTCTTGTGTGTTGTGGTGTTTGTTTGTGTTTTTGTGTGTGTGTGTGTTTGTGTTGTGTGTGTGTGTGTTTGTGTGTGTTGTGTGTGTTTATGTGTGTGTGTTGTGTTTGTATGTGTGTGTGTGCGTGTGTGTGTGTGCGTGGTGTGTGTCTACATAAATTCAAATTAGACAGTATTTTACCAAGAATTAAAAACAAATATATATCACAGGACCTTATCCTCTTCCCGAGACAGACAGACAGACAGACAAACAAACAAACAAGACATGACAGACAGACAGACAGACAGGACTTTAGCCTCTTCCCGTCTCCGAAGCGCCTCGGGTCTACATGTCGCGAACATGTCTTCCCCCTTCGTGTCGATGCAGAAGATAAGCATTCATTTCCTGCACCTCCACGGCCCCCTTCGCGACCACGGGGGGGGGGGGGGGGGGTGCCATTCCGTCCCCCTCCCCCCCGCGAGAGGTGAAAAGGACCCCCACTGACAAGATAATTCCATTGATTGGGCGCCTCTGAAAAGCACCTTGGGGTTATTAATCTTACGGGGTTGGCGGAAGAAGTGGGGGGGTTGTCTGGGGTCCACAATGGGGGGGGGGCAAGGAGACTCGAAGTGGGGGGGTTGTCTGGGGTCCACAATGGGCGGGGCGGGGGCAAGGAGACTCGATACTGGCTGGGGGAGAGTGGACCCCCCCCCCCCGCTGCTAACAGTGATAGAGGACTGTCGTAGACATGTGGCACCGGAAGTAGTTACGGCTAAGAAAGAGGAAAGACAGAAAGAAAAAGAAAAAGAAGAAAAAAAAAAAAAGGTGGCTACTAATAAAAAATTATAATAATCCGCTAAAGAAAGAGAGAAAAAGAAAAAGAAGAAAAGAATGTGGATAGTAATAAAAGATGATAATAATGATGATCCGCTAAAAAAAAAAGAAGAAAAGAAAAAAAGAAAAAAAAAGTGGCTACTAATAAAAAATGATAATAATGATAATCCGTTAAAAAAGAAAGAAAGAAAAAGAAAGAAAAAGACGTGGCTACTAATAAAAAAATAATAATAATGATGATCCCCTTAAAAAAAGAAAAGAAAAAAAAAGAAGAAAAAAAAACAATGGCTAGTAATGAAAAAATATATCATAAATCATGTAAGTTGAAAGGGATCACAATACAATATCACCGTTTTTAGTTTTCTAAGTAGACCTACCACAGTTCGTTCCCTAACCAGGAGATAGAAAACACGATCGATATACGCATAAATGTCATTTAAAAATAGCTACTTTCCTGATAATTCAAAAATGAGAGACATTCTTCGTCTAAAAAAACAAAATATATATATATAAAAAAACAAAAAAAAAAAAACATGCTCGTTCACTCTTCATAAAAGACCTCATGGAAGCTCTATATTAGACGTATAAAACTGAACACTAAGAAACTCAGACGGCTGTTATAAAGAACTCGCTTTATGTCAATACGAACGAGTAAATTGGGGATGATTGACTAACATGCTCAAATAATTTCTTTATGGCTCCACGACCCGCTACTCAGTGACCATAACGTATTCGTGAGAAATGTTGGTGTATATAGATTGCGTTCAGTGGCTCCGTTTTGGCTCTCGTGGTCCTCGGAAGGGCTGGTCAAGATTACGGGAGCTGTCAAGAAATTCGGAGCTGAATCAAGATGATTCGGCGATGGCTGTCAAGGGATTCGGGGGCTGTCAAACGATGATTTCGGTGGCTGTCAAAGATAGATTCGGCTGGTCAAGATTATCGGCGGGCTTGGAGGGTCAAGATTTTTTCCGGGGGGGCTGTCCCAAAGATGAATTTTCGGGAGTTGGGTCATCAAGATTCGGGCTGTCAAGATGATCGGTTCGCCGGGAGGCCGGGCTGTCAAGGGGAAAATTCGGGGCTG